ACATTTCTGATTATTATCAATGTTGAAAACAGTCGTGCTGCACAATATTTTTGTGGAAACTGTGATGCATTTTATTTTTCAGGATTCACAGATGAACAGAAAGTTCAAAAGAAATCTTTTGTGACATTATAAACATCTTTACTGTCACTTTTGAACAATTTAATGCGTCCTTGATGAATAAAAGCATCAATTTCTTTCATTTCTTTCCAAAAAAATTTAAATTAAAATTCTTACCCCAATCTTTTGAATGGTAGCGCATGATGTTACAAAGGATTTCTTTTTTTTTTTTAAATGAAGAAAAATTACACAACTGTTTTCAACATTGATAATAATCAGAAATTGTAAAACGTTTTCACAATGCCACTGTTTTTGCTGTTTTTTTGATCAAATAAATGCAGCCTTGGTGACACACACACACACACACACACACACACACACCTGGTGAGCAGAAGAGACTCTTTCAAACACTCTAAAACTCAGTAGCGTATGTTTATAATTATATACGTTTTTGTATTTTAAGCAAAAACTGTCACTGGACTGTGACTGTTAGATGTTTAACTATTATTGGTTAATATTATTCATAACAGTAAAAAAGGAAAGTCATTGCAGAGGCGTTCCACACAATAATTCTGTAGCATCTGAGAGATTAGTTCTGCTGAAGCATCGACTGTAAGACCAGCGCTGTGATTGGACGAGGCGTGATCATGTGACACTCACTGGCTCATGTTGGCCAGGTCGGGGTGGATGGAGGTCAGGAGGTTGCAGCTGAGGTTGACCTCCGTCAGTGTGCTGATGGAGCAGATGTGCAGCGGGAAACTCCGCAGCTGATTATGAGAGAGATTGAGGCTCCGCAGGCGGGAGAATCTGCAGAGAGAAGATGACGTCCACAGCGGAGTCCTTCAGAGTTTATTACACATGATCAAACACACAGCTGATTGGCTGAGCCGCTGTAAATCACTCACTACAGAAGTATTATCTGTTATCTATAAATCATAACTCTTACATGAGACCAGACTGATTTCATTTTTAGCTTTGTGAAATGTGCGCGACTTATCCTGGACTAATATGAAATGAAAATAATACACATTTGTCAGGCTGAAATGTCTGCGTAATGTTTGACAGCTTATCTTAACATCTCCACCATTAAATATGCATTTAATTTAGTTAATCAAATGTTTTTTGTATTTTGACTGTTTTACTATTCCTATAATGTCTAAAATTTCCATGATGACATTCTCGTTTAAATATCTGGGCGGTTTATTTTTTCTCAAACTATTATTATTTTTTTTTACATTTTTATTTATATGCATTTATTTACAAAATTGCAAGTTTTCCATTTTAATTTGTCTGGATTCTGTTGTAATGGTGTAATTACATTTTAATAATTAAAAGGATGTCTAATCAATTGAATTAACAAAAATTTCTAACAATGATAGTGCCCTATGAAATATGTTTTATTTTTTCAGAAATTGTCCGTGTTTTATGATTTGATAGAAATTTATTATCAAAAATGTTGGGAATCAAACGAATGCATAAACATTTAACAATTTAACAATCTTTTTAAATGTAATGAACGAACAATTCCTTTCGTTTTTATTGTTTCTGTGTGTATCTGATGAAATATCATTTGATAACAGCGAAGGAGATCAGGAGAGAAAGCTAACAGCCTCAGCACTGACACAGACTCCACACAGGAGCCCTTGAGGATCGGGCCGAGCGACGAGGAGCTGGAGTGAGCGCACACTGACCTCTGCAGCTGCAGCAGCGTCTGGTCAGCAGGAAGGAAGTTGTGCTTGAGGTTGAGGTGCGTCAGATCCTGACTGTACAGCAGATTAGACGGCAGCTTCTCCAGACTACAGCAGGACAGATCCACCGAGCTGATCCTCTGAGACACCACCTACACACACACACACACACACAGAGACAGAGACACACACACACACACACACACACAGAGAAACACACACACATCCACACACACAGAGAAACACACACACACACACACAGAGAAACACACACACACACACAGGTCACTCCTCATGGTCACAGAAGGAAACCTTACACTCAATTTAAGGAATCATTCATGACTGACAACTAGAGCTGCTATTGAGACAAATTTCATGATTCAATTAAACTTACAAGCTTGCGATTCGATTAAATTTTGATCTTGATTGAATTCTATTTGTTATTGATTCATTTGAATATACAGGCAATCCGGTTACCATATTAATCTGGAAACAAACATTTAAAATGCACATAACACAGTTTTATAATAAAAATGTATTATATAATACAGATTTATTATAATAAATTTATTATAAACATTTAAACAGTGGATGTCATAATGGATTTATTCAAACATTCATTAATGTATACAACAGGTTAAGTAAAATCTGATGAATATGTAGCATACATTTATCAAAATGCTCAAAACTGACGATCGAGTTTAAGGTCATTGAACGTCTTTTCTGAGGTAAACGTGATGTTACGTGACATTATTGATCTCAAGCTGTTTTACTGACGGTTGAATCACTGATTGATTCTGTGATTCAGGACTGATTTCAGCGAGTTGTTCTGTTTCTGCTGTTCGTTCATGTTTATTTGCTGCTGTAACTAGTAGTAAAGAGGAAGAGATGATCGCTTCACTACAGCATCTGTCAGCACACATTAAAGAGCAGCAAAAACACATTCACTGATTGAATTTTGTAATTAAATTGACAGAATTTGATACCATTGATGAAGGTGATACTTTGTTTCATATCAAAAGTAAGAAAGCACAAAGTTTGGATTGGATGACAGGAGCTACAAATAATGTTACTTTAAGTTCTGTTCACGCAGGGGTTCAAGGATCGATATCGATTCATCTAAATGAGAATCAATTCAAATCAAGAAATCTATATTTTCAGCCGAGCCCTACTGGCATCTGACTCAGTAAACAGCACTACTGAGCAACGCGGTGATTCAGCCTAAACATTAACCCGTCTCCATCACTCTGCTGAGGTTTTTCTAATCTGAGGCTCCCGGCGGGCCGGACACGTCTCCGGGAGAATAGGCTGGCCTACTTGCGTTTGTTTAGGATGGTGCGCTCGTAGTGAAGTATGCTAAAGTAGGACTCCCAACTAGGGCTTTCACACACACACGTTTGTTTTTGTGAATTGTGGGGACATTCCATAGGCGTAATGGTTTTTATACTGTACAATCTGTATGTGCTATTGCCCTACCCCTAACCCTTACAGGAAACTTTGTGCATTTTTACTTTCTCAAAAAAACTCATTTTGTATGATTTATAAGCGTTTTGAAAAATGGGCACACACACACACATACACACACACACAGAAGCTTACACCAGAACGTAACACAGTGCCCATTAAGAGATGAGTGTTCATAAGCATCACAGGTCTGTTTAGATCGGCTGTGATGACTGACATGGCAGACAGCACTCAATATTTAGTCTAGCAGTCTACAACATAAATGAACTCTGAGAGAGTACGAGACTATGAAACACACATCTGTTTGTTTAGCACTTCATGAACTCTCAAAACCACCATAAAACTTTACAACTCACTAACCAATGTCCACTATGTCTGTCCTCTCACTGCGCTCGTTTCAAGTGTTGCTTGTTGGCAGTAACCGGGATCTTGCCAATACACAAATGTTGTTTTAATGAACTTGCATATATAAATAAAACATATACTGTTAACATATATGGTTACTACATATAATATATAAAAAATATATACAGCCTTACAGGTAACATATAGCAGTATTACTCTTGATATAGGCCAATAGATGCCCTTTATTACATTTCCGTATGGGTGGGAAAGAAACTATATAATATAACCTGGCGTTCAGCACATGTAGACAATATAAAGTGAAGGTAAACTGTGAATATTGCAGCCAACTAAAGTGTTTTTTTTTTCTTAAAGAATGTGCCAGCAGATCCTGTCCTTTCATTCTCATGGTCTGCGAAAGTCTGAATCTAAATAAGAGTAATTATCCAATTAAATTTTAACCAGTAAAAGGGATCTGTAGGTAATACTGAACACTGTCGAGCGGCTGAAGAAAATCTATTCTATTCTGACTACTGTGCACTTCAGAAGGAATGCTGTAGGATCATTGGTTTGAGACAAACATTCCCCGTAGGATGATAAGGTGTGAGTTCAGTACCTTTCCTCCGATCAGTGGCAGAATGTGCATCTTGCCCGTATGGCTGGCCTTCACTGAGGACACCATCAGGCAAGTGCCACATAAAATCACCTGCCGTCGACTCCAGCGGTTCACTGGCAGCTGCAGCTTTCCTTTCCTTACGTTATACGTTCCAGAGAGCTGGATGCGCTCGGAGCTCTCGATGCTGTGAGGTTTTCCTGCAAAACAGAGAAAAACACGAGTGACTTCCCCAATCCACTCCTATGTCAACACATCCAATACAGCTTCAGAGGCACATCACAATTCATTGTTCCACACTAGAGAATGCCTCTGGCACATGCAATTCAGCAGTCAGTACTAGTAATGAGTGGAGTTCACCATTATTAAGCACAGAATTCAGCAGTCAGTACTAGTAATGAGTGGAATTCACCATTATTAAGCACAGAATTCAGCAGTCAGTACTAGTATAAAGCAGCATTCAGAAGTTTTACTAGTAAAGAGCAGAATTCAGCAGTCAGTACTAGAGAAAGGAGAGTAGAGTTTAGCAGTCAGTACTAGTTCAGTGATCAGTACTCGTAATGAGTGGATTCAGGATTATTAAGAGCAGAATTCAGCAGTCAATATTAGTATAAAGCAGAATTCAGCAGTCAGTACTAGTATAAAGCAGAATTCCGCTGTCAGTACTAGTAAAGAGCAGAATTCAGCAGTCAGTACTAGCAAAAAGTAGAATTCAGCAATCAGTACTAGTGAATAGCAAAATTCAGCAGTCAGTACTAGTGACGAGTAGAATTCAGCAGTCAGTATTAGTAAAGAGCAGAATTCAACAGTTCGCACTAGTGAAGAGAAGAATTAGTCAGAACCAGATCGGAGTTCAGATTTGGATTCGGGTTTGAATAATTCAGCAGGGCTCTATATGGAGATGTGCAATATGTTTTGCCATAAACTCTAATTTATCAAAATGGGTTGATTTGTCAGTAATCTCTCCTGGTTATAATATCAATACTTTCATATCACTATCTTTATAACTCATGCGTTGTATTTGTCCTGCACTGAATGGTGAGGTGTGGTATCTCAGTGAGATCTCAGCTGACTCTAACTATGCAGCAACATTCCTGCTTTCACTTCTGAGACAGAGCAAGCGAGATCTGACCCAAAAGCAGCAGCAGTATGTGGGTCAGGACCCCACGGTACGCGGCATGGAGCGCTGCAGCCCACTTTACAGCACGACCATCAGCACAGGTTTAACATGACACCCAGTCTGAAGCTTTCTGTTGTTGCTTTTCAAAAATGACCAGTTGCAGTGTTCTCTCTCGTGTTATGAAATAAGAAATAAGAAAAGCAGTTTACAAATATTGATGCTGCAGACAGACAGGTACACAGAGAGATCTCACATGGATCTTAAGCATAATTTAGGCATGTTGTGCTTTTTCCCCGGGCGTAATCCTCAGAGAGGAAACCATAGCCTTTCCTGCGTGAGAGCTCTTCTCTGACTGACACAGACCCTGAACCATGAGCGCATTTCCTGCTACACGGCTGTTCCGCCAAATTCACACCATCTCATTGATTAGCCATTAACCAATTTACCGAGTCAATTAAGTGAGGCGCAAATAACAGAATTCACATGAGTTTTCGGCATTGAGTTGTCTGGCTGTTCACAGGCGTGAATTAGTCCACCAGCCACAGTGCGGTAAATGGGATGAGTAAAGAGTAGAATTCAGCAGCCAGAACTAGAGAAGAGAACGGAGTTCAGCAGTCAGTACTAGTAAAGAGTAGAATTCAGCAGCCAGAACTATAGAAGAGAGTGGAGTTCAGCAGTCAGTACTAGTAAAGAGTAGAATTCAGCAGCCAGAACTAGAGAAGATAGAACGGAGTTCAGCAGTCAGAACTAGAGAAGAGAGAGCGGAGTTCAGCAGTCAGTGCTAGTAAACAGTAGAATTCAGCAGTCAGAACTAGAGAAGAGAGAGCGGAGTTCAGCAGTCAGTGCTAGTAAACAGTAGAATTCAGCAGTCAGAACTAGAGAAGAGAGAGCGGAGTTCAGCAGTCAGTGCTAGTAAACAGTAGAATTCAGCAGTCAGAACTAGAGAAGAGAGAGCGGAGTTCAGCAGTCAGTGCTAGTAAACAGTAGAATTCAGCAGTCAGAACTAGAGAAGAGAGAGCGGAGTTCAGCAGTCAGTGCTAGTAAACAGTAGAATTCAGCAGTCAGAACTAGAGAAGAGAGAGCGGAGTTCAGCAGTCAGTGCTAGTAAACAGTAGAATTCAGCAGTCAGAACTAGAGAAGAGAGAGCGGAGTTCAGCAGTCAGTGCTAGTAAACAGTAGAATTCAGCAGTCAGAACTAGAGAAGAGAGAGCGGAGTTCAGCAGTCAGTGCTAGTAAACAGTAGAATTCAGCAGTCAGAACTAGAGAAGAGAGAGCGGAGTTCAGCAGTCAGTGCTAGTAAACAGTAGAATTCAGCAGTCAGAACTAGAGAAGAGAGAGCGGAGTTCAGCAGTCAGTGCTAGTAAACAGTAGAATTCAGCAGTCAGAACTAGAGAAGAGAGAGCGGAGTTCAGCAGTCAGTGCTAGTAAACAGTAGAATTCAGCAGTCAGAACTAGAGAAGAGAGAGCGGAGTTCAGCAGTCAGTGCTAGTAAACAGTAGAATTCAGCAGTCAGAACTAGAGAAGAGAGAGCGGAGTTCAGCAGTCAGTGCTAGTAAACAGTAGAATTCAGCAGTCAGAACTAGAGAAGAGAGAGCGGAGTTCAGCAGTCAGTGCTAGTAAACAGTAGAATTCAGCAGTCAGAACTAGAGAAGAGAGAGCGGAGTTCAGCAGTCAGTGCTAGTAAACAGTAGAATTCAGCAGTCAGAACTAGAGAAGAGAGAGCGGAGTTCAGCAGTCAGTGCTAGTAAACAGTAGAATTCAGCAGTCAGAACTAGAGAAGAGAGAGCGGAGTTCAGCAGTCAGTGCTAGTAAACAGTAGAATTCAGCAGTCAGAACTAGAGAAGAGAGAGCGGAGTTCAGCAGTCAGTGCTAGTAAACAGTAGAATTCAGCAGTCAGAACTAGAGAAGAGAGAGCGGAGTTCAGCAGTCAGTGCTAGTAAACAGTAGAATTCAGCAGTCAGAACTAGAGAAGAGAGAGCGGAGTTCAGCAGTCAGTGCTAGTAAACAGTAGAATTCAGCAGTCAGAACTAGAGAAGAGAGAGCGGAGTTCAGCAGTCAGTGCTAGTAAACAGTAGAATTCAGCAGTCAGAACTAGAGAAGAGAGAGCGGAGTTCAGCAGTCAGTGCTAGTAAACAGTAGAATTCAGCAGTCAGAACTAGAGAAGAGAGAGCGGAGTTCAGCAGTCAGTGCTAGTAAACAGTAGAATTCAGCAGTCAGAACTAGAGAAGAGAGAGCGGAGTTCAGCAGTCAGTGCTAGTAAACAGTAGAATTCAGCAGTCAGAACTAGAGAAGAGAGAGCGGAGTTCAGCAGTCAGTGCTAGTAAACAGTAGAATTCAGCAGTCAGAACTAGAGAAGAGAGAGCGGAGTTCAGCAGTCAGTGCTAGTAAACAGTAGAATTCAGCAGTCAGAACTAGAGAAGAGAGAGCGGAGTTCAGCAGTCAGTGCTAGTAAACAGTAGAATTCAGCAGTCAGAACTAGAGAAGAGAGAGCGGAGTTCAGCAGTCAGTGCTAGTAAACAGTAGAATTCAGCAGTCAGAACTAGAGAAGAGAGAGCGGAGTTCAGCAGTCAGTGCTAGTAAACAGTAGAATTCAGCAGTCAGAACTAGAGAAGAGAGAGCGGAGTTCAGCAGTCAGTGCTAGTAAACAGTAGAATTCAGCAGTCAGAACTAGAGAAGAGAGAGCGGAGTTCAGCAGTCAGTGCTAGTAAACAGTAGAATTCAGCAGTCAGAACTAGAGAAGAGAGAGCGGAGTTCAGCAGTCAGTGCTAGTAAACAGTAGAATTCAGCAGTCAGAACTAGAGAAGAGAGAGCGGAGTTCAGCAGTCAGTGCTAGTAAACAGTAGAATTCAGCAGTCAGAACTAGAGAAGAGAGAGCGGAGTTCAGCAGTCAGTGCTAGTAAACAGTAGAATTCAGCAGTCAGAACTAGAGAAGAGAGAGCGGAGTTCAGCAGTCAGTGCTAGTAAACAGTAGAATTCAGCAGTCAGAACTAGAGAAGAGAGAGCGGAGTTCAGCAGTCAGTGCTAGTAAACAGTAGAATTCAGCAGTCAGAACTAGAGAAGAGAGAGCGGAGTTCAGCAGTCAGTGCTAGTAAACAGTAGAATTCAGCAGTCAGAACTAGAGAAGAGAGAGCGGAGTTCAGCAGTCAGTGCTAGTAAACAGTAGAATTCAGCAGTCAGAACTAGAGAAGAGAGAGCGGAGTTCAGCAGTCAGTGCTAGTAAACAGTAGAATTCAGCAGTCAGAACTAGAGAAGAAAGAGCGGAGTTCAGCAGTCAGTGCTAGTAAACAGTAGAACTCAGCAGCCAGAACTAGTATAAAGCAGATTTCAGCAGTTAGTACTAGTAAAAGGCAGAATTCAGTAGTCAGTACTAGTAAAGAGAAGAATTTAGCAGTCAGTACTACCAAAAAACAATTAATCTGCTGGTACTAGTGAAGTACAGAATTCAGTAGTCAATATAATTAAGAGCAGAATTCAGCAGTGCTAGTAAAGATAAAACTAGGCAGAAAGTACAAGTAAAGAGCAGAATTCAGCAGTCAGTTCAACTGAAGAACAGAATTCAGCAGTCAGTACTAGTAAAGGGCAGAATTAAACAGTCAGTACTAGCAAAGTTTAGAATTCAGCAGTCAGTACTAGTAAAGAGTAGAATTCAACAGGCAGTACTACCAAAAAACAATTAATCTGCTGGTACTAGTGAAGTATAGAATTCAGTAGTCAATATAATTAAGAGCAGAATTCAGCAGTACTAGTAAAGATAAAACTAGGCAGAAAGTACAAGTAAAGAGCAGAATTCAGCAGTCAGTTCAACTGAAGAACAGAATTCAGCAGTCAGTACTAACAAAAAAAAAACAGAATTCAGCTGTTGTACTAGTAAAGTACATAATTCAGTAGTCAGTACTAGTAAAGAGTGGAATTTAGAATTTACGTTACATTGGCCATTGAGAAACAAATGCACATAACCTCTAATGTATCAAAATGTCTGTACAGCATGAAGACATGTGACTGTCTCCCAGCCCTATCTGTGACTCCTGGGACAGACGCCCTGAGGTCGGGGGTCAGCGGTCTGTCCGATGTTTGACTTAG